CAATTCATTGTTTTGGAACTCACAAACACAGATACATTCAAACACACACACACACACACACACACACACACACACATACTCACAAACAAACACACACACGCACCCCCCAACACACACACACAAACACACACGCATACACACTCATACATAGTCGTAAACCAGCAGCACCACCACCACAACCCCCCTGCCAATATCCATTTTCGTAGATTTAAAAAGGCTAAACTGTTCAATCTGTGAGCACATGCATGATTTCAGCCATGGCTTACGTTGTTGTTTTTTTAAAGTCACACAAGCCTCCAAAAATCCCACAAAAAGAATTATTTAAAAACTCAGCCAAAAACAAAAATTAATATGAATCAAAAACAAACAAACAATAAAAACAAGTTGTCTTAAACTCTGCCGCCTAGAGGTCAGTCAGTCCTCAGTCAAGCCAAATTGTCTTTCATCCCAGCATTTATATTCGACTTCGTGTTTCAATTCCCTTCACCAGTTAATAGAAAACCAAAATATAGCAAGAAGGGTCAAAATGAACTTAATCTTCTTGCATAGTCAGGCCTGGAGTGTTTCAAAGGTCGTCTATGAGCTCTCGTTTTATTCTTTATACCGTGATTCCACTCCCCCATGCTAATCATTATGTCGCAACGTGGTGGAATCAGGTTCTTGTCAATTTTTCGGCACACGGACTGTCTGATATCATCTTAAAGTTTGTTTATTTATCTTGCTTCTCTCTTGTGAAAAGATATAATTTATTTAATAAATCAGTAGAGATATTTGCTATTGTTTAGGTTGGGATCGTCTGGTGTCAGAGGTAAACGTAGCTAGAAAATGACCGCCAAAGTTTGGTCACTTTCAAATCTTGAGATCCCCTGGAAACTGCAATTTACATTTGTGTGCCCTTGATTCACATTTTTTGGTAAAATCCACACACACATGGGTTTTAAATAGACATAAAACGAGTTGATCTAAAAAGCAATTAATACAAATTTCCTAGCTGGCAGAAAAATTTGGGTTTTTTCGATTTCAATATTTTCCCGAAACCCTGATTTTACCACGACGCGATACAAAGATTGCTCGTCCTTCACAGTTTTCACATATTTCGCACGGTCATGATGAAAACAACCGAATCAAAACGAGTGGCTCCCGGATTTGCTAAGAGACTTCCTGGTTAAATTGACACTCCGATGCGAGAGCATGCTCCTGAGCTCTATAAATAAAGCACGGTATGGATTCACCAAGTCTCAAAGCAACTGGAAAAGGTTCAAGGTCAGATAAGGCAGGTCATACCTTTTAGTCCAAGTGAGTTATAACTCCGCCTCTGACACATGGAGATATTCTTAATTTAAGTAGAAGTTTTACGGGCACTCTCAAAACGTTGGGGTCATTCTAGTGTCGAAAAATTAAAGGTATTGCGAGAGTAACAAACATAGAAAAAAAAAGGAGAAGAGATTCAAACGATAGATATTAGATAAGGAAGAAGGAACAAACCACACCAGAGTACACGTCAATCACACACAAGGCAGGTCATGGTCAATCTCATTTTGAGGACTGTGAACCGAATGTTGTCCTTGTCCGTACTAGGAGGGTGGTTGGCGGGTGATCTGATGTGGTTTGCTCCTTCTTTCCTATCAACCATTTTTTATCGTCCTGATCTCACCCACTTCTTTTTTGTTTGTTACTCTCTTGTAACGCCTCCAATAAAATTATTTTCGGCACTTTTTATTACGACCTTATTGTTTTGCAAGGGCCTTAAAACTTCTCCTAAACAAACAAAAAATAATTATGAACAAAATAACTCATTGTTACTACCCGATCCTGGTTGTTTCCTTAATTTCCATCCGATGAGGTGCATTGCTAGCACGGTGCTAATTCACTTTTTTATAGGCTTCCATGCTGGTATATGTGGCAGATGACCCTGGCCTGAATCACGAATGGGACGTTCTTTTATGGGATGATAATTTGGAGAGTATATAATAGTCAAACCTGCTCTAACGGCCGCCTGTATAACGACAATCGCCTTTTCAAACGGCCACACTTCATTTCGTTTTTGTATATTATAATAACACTATGTAAGATGGTCATCTGTCTATGACGGCCACTTTTCTCCTTTAAAATGAGAGGCCGTCTTAGGCAATTTTGACTGTATTTAAGGACCGGTTTCCAGGAAGGGAGTTATTTTTCAAGTAACCTTATCTTTCTGCTACGATGTTCTATTCCCCTCCACCCAGGCTGACACTGACATGCAAGGTTCAAGCCTGTCACCTAAATGTAATTTTTGTCAATAGGGACGTAAAACAACTTTTAAAAAATAGAGTTTTCAAGGTTCCCCTTCTGCTTCAATTTGTGTCATTGGACGTTAAATTCGGAGGTCCCTCTTCCTAAATAATACTACAGTATTCAAAAGGATGATATCTCTTTGTTCTTACCCTCTCTCTCAAATTCTCTCTTTTTTCATTTCTCTCTCTCCTTCTCTCTCTCTCTCTCTCTCTCTCTCTCTCTCTCTCTCTTTCTCTCTCTCCCCCTCTCTCTCTCTTTTCTCTCTCACTCACTCACTGTTTAAACCCACGCCATTCCATCCTTTTGGATTTGAAAAATATGTTTATTGTGCTCTTTTGTTTTTGTTTATATTTATTGATGTTTATGTGGTATCTATTACTACAACGCACACCAATGCGGGAAAATCGTATCGTTTAAAAATTACCCTCTAATTAATGAGTTCTACTCCAACTTCCTCTCTCTTTATCTTTCTATGTCTGTCTCTCACTCGCTTTCCCTTTCTCTCTCTCTCTCTCTCTCTCTCTCTCTCTCTCTCTCTCTCTGTCTCTGTCTCTCTCTCTCTCCCTCTCTCTCTGTGTCTCTGTTTCTCTCTCTCTCTGTGTCTCTCTGTCTCTTCTCTCTGTCCCTCTGTTTCTGTCTGTCTCTCTCTCTCTCTTTCTCCCTCTCTCTCTGTGTCTCTGTTTCTCTCTTTCTCTCTGTCTCTCTCTCTCTCTGCCCCCCCCTCTCTCTCTCTCACTCTCTGTGTCTCTCTGTCTCTCTCTCTCTCGTCCCACGGGATGACAATCAAGGTAATTCAGATCCGCTAGTGCGTGGCGGCCACCCC